CAGCCTTCCAGTATCACTTGCATCTTTACACTAGCCAATGTAGCTCTAATAATAATAGGAGGTTCTCTATCCTTCTAGATCATGGACTAGTCAGGGATTTTTATGTCCTTCTTCAAATAAGGTCAGTGCCCCCAGCTGGCATGCCAGGACTTACCTAAACTCAAACATTAAAAAAAAAAAAATTAACCTGAATTAATTAAAAATAGGAACTAAGAGTCAACTATTTGGATCACCATGTTTCATCCTGTATGGATACTATTACATAGAATGAATGAAGGTTAATATTTTGTCCCTTTCACTTCCAAAGACCATTCAGATAAACCGAATTAAAATCTCTTAAATTTGAAATAGTTCTGTTCCTTAGAGTTTTGAAGCCGTTTTAAAATAGTCATAATTTGATACAATTTTCATGAGAGTCTTTGTGTAATTAAAACCTTACACGAATGGTACCCAGACCTTCCAGTTAGACAAGCCGTTTCTCTCATGCCAGTAGCAAACCTTTAGTTCCAGAAGCGCACACTTAAAATCTGCAGTGAAAGAGAGCAATTACTAATGCTCTGTGCTTCTCACACAGGCACATAATTTGTTAGTGAAATGTGCCCAGTGACCATGCAAAACTTTATTCTATCCTTCAAGGGAAAGAAAAAAAAAAAGTAAAAAATCTTTGCAGCAGTTCCTGAGGGATAAAGGGACAATTCCTGTCAGAACCCTCAGTCTGAAAATCTTGTGTTTTGCCTCTTTACCCCATCCTTTTTTTTTTTTAGCATCTGCAGAAAGTACAGTGTTACAGACTGTTCTATTTTGCAACACAGAGCAAGTAACTGAGAGCCAATATATTTCAACATATCATTTGGGGAGCCACTTGACACTATTTCTAAATTAAAATGTCCCTGTCTTTGAAATACCTGGTTTGTAGTCTGCAAGAATTAGAATATGGGAGCAGAACAGGTAGAAAGTGGCATCACCAGAGCACATACAACTAAACTGATTAAGATACATGCATTTCTCTGAGTGTGATCATACTTGCAGATCTTTTGAAGTTCTGCCATTAATTAACACATCACCATGAAGCTCAACAAGACCAAGTGCAAGGTCCTGCACCTGGGCTGGGGCTATCCCAAGCACAAATACAGACTGGGCAGAGACTGGATTGAGAGCAGCCCTGAGGTGAAGCACTTGAGGATATTGGTTGACGAGAAGCCCAATGTGAGCCAGCATTGTGTGTCTGCAGCCCAGAAAGCCAACCATATACTGGGCTGCATCAAAAGGAGCATGACCAGAAAGTCAAAGGAGGTGGTCCTGCCCTTCTACTCTGCTCTCATGACACCCCACCTGAAGTACTGCACCCAGCTCCCAACACAAGGATGTGGATCTGCTCAAGCTAGTCCAGAGGCCACAAAGATGATCAGAGGGCTGGAGCACCTTTTCTATGGAGACAAGCTGAGAGAGCTGGGCTTAATCAGCCTGGAGAAGAGGCTCTGGGAGGACCTTATATAGTGTGTGTATATATATATATATATACACATATGTAGTAGCCTTTCAGTAGCTAAGCGGGAACTACAAGAAATCTGGAGAGGGACTTTTTACAAGAGCATGTAGTGACAGGACAAGGGAAAATGGCTTTAAGCTGACAGAGGGGAGATTTAGATTTAGACATTAGAAGCAAATTCTTTAGTATGAGGGTATTGAGACACTGGAACAGGTTGCCCAGAGAAGCTGTGGATGAGGTGTCCCTGGAAGTTCTCAAGGCCAGGTTGGATGGGACTTTGACCAGTGTGGTGTAATGGAAGGTGTTGCTGCCAATGGCAGGGTGTGTGGTACTAGATGAGCTTTAAGGTCCCTTCCAATTCTAACCATTCTATGATCAAAAAACTTTGCATGTGTGTCTGTGTGCAATACTCTCTAAAATGAACTGGACTACAGTAAGTGTTTTTCTGTCATCTTTAAGTGCAGCTTAGGTAGAAGAGGTTACAGGAACAGGGTTTGGTAATGCATTTTCAAGGTGAATTACTTATTGGTGTAAGCCTGAAAAGTCTGAAATTGAGTTGGAATAACATGAAGAGTGCTTAGTCATTAACAGATAACCAAATGTACAGACCAGGATGAAAAGAAAATCGAAATATTTCAGCCTTTTCCAACATTAACATCCCCTAGACAGCTAAGCCAGCATGAATTCATCCCCTTTGGAGCTGTATTTCATCTCACTAGTGTTGTCTAAAGTTAAACACAGTAGTCCTGACATAACAGTTCACTGTATTTCCAGTAAACAAGGACTTTCAACACTTTTTGTCCCCAGTGATCAATACTGAGTCTAAAAGAAAAAAAGAGAAAGCACTGTATGTAGTTTGTTTACCATCAATTTGCATTCCTATTCAAAACAGCCATCAGAAATGCCTGCTGCTTCTTAAAAAGCAGAGTGTAAGCAGGACATATTTATTTACTCTGCAGATTTTCTCCTATATATATGTAACAAGGCAAGAAAAAAATTTTAAAAGGTAGAATTTGAAGTGAACAGCAGATACCTTCAAGAAGATACTTATTGTACAGCTCACAGTACAGGAATAACCAGACTATTGTTACCATCTGGTAGCTGAACGGAAAGGAATAATACTGTCACTGCAGTGGAGAATGTCTCAGGGTGTTTGTAGAAGAGGCACAGCCTTTACAATTTACTAGATTATACACATACTAGTACAACAGGTTATGTGCTAAACATACTTATTTATTCCTCCTGATAGTACGTGATCACTTTGGATTTGTTCCTAAGGACACTGGGCTTACAAATTTTGCTTTTCCTTACTTCTTCAGTCTCTCTTCTTTTTTTTTTTTTTTTTTTCTTTCCCCTCTGGCTTTTCACAGCGCTGTCCCTCAAGTTTTGAACAGACTTGTCAGATTTCACTGCAACTGTCTTAGGGGAGTAAGTCTCTAATGTGTTTGCTGGTATATACTTCATGGAAGTTTCCCGTAAAACAGAGGCTCACATCTCCATCCCACTGGGAAAATGCCTTTGACATACATTGAACAGGAGCCTGTTTGATTTGTTGGCTGCGTAATCACCACATGTAGCTCAAAATCAGCATGTGTGCAGACCTTCACAACATTGCCTTCTGGTAAAAACATGAAGCAGTGGGACTAACTGGGAGAGAAATCTAAGGAATTATGAGGGGGAATGGAAATGACAGGAGCTAAGGATATTTTGACAGGGATGCATTGGCTCAATTCACTTCCACAAATGCTCAGAGCTTTGAGAGCTGTTACAGTGGATGGCAAACAGTAAGACTGCTTTAGCAACAGAAGATCCTTGGATCTGTACAGCTGGGCTGAACTCGGATGCAATTCTTACCTTAGAATTTTTTTTTCTAATTGTAAAATATTGACCTGTTACTGTACAGGCTGACTAATTTCAGAAGTAATTATCTCCTGAGCATTTCAGGTTGCAGATACATTACTGCATGAGCAGTCCTATCCCCAAATGCTTGTGTCTGCTTTCCAGACTCCTCCCTGCTGTGCTGCCATAGTAATTCGGTGTGGGGAACTCAAGATGTGAGGTGATCCAGCTAAGAGATAATCCATCCTAAGAAAAAGTGTGTTTTTTTCAGTCTCCCTTATGTTTAAACTGTGCTACTGCTCCAAAATCATTTGTGTCTTTTCTTCCTCAGTCTTTTGGGTCTAACAAAAGCTATTTAAAAGAGACAAGTTTTTAAGGATGAAAGTCAAGCATTCCTTGAAAAGCAGGCAAGTGAAAGAAGTGGGAGCAGCAAAGACTATACAGAAAGTTTCCTCACAAATTTCAATTACTTGAATATTTACTCCCAAAGAGAAGGCCTTCTGACCCATTCCTTTTAATTTATTACTGCGAAATTGTTCTGCTGTCTGAAACCCTATATGAAATGTAATACAGGGTGCAATGTGACATGTTTCTGCTGATGCCACTCAGTAGTCACTCTCCCACACACATACTGACACAAAAGTGGGAAAAAAGCTCACATTCTTTCTCACAAATTCTGCAAATCTAATGCAGAATGTTGTGAAGAATATGGTAATGGATGTCCCAGGAATGTACAATCTCTCTACTCCCTCCAGTCTCATATGTCCTTTTGCCACTGTTCTGGTACAAGATCTATTATGTTTCTAGTTCATCAGTATTTGCAGGCTTGAAAGTATTTAGGTGGAAGGTACAGTATGAATCAGTCATTAAAAACTAGTGGAAAACAGGCAGAGGTGGTCAGCAAAGAAGGATTTTGGAAAGCAAACCACCTGAGTAACTATGCTTTCTTCTTCTGCCTTATTTTCAGAGTTTAACATGCATCTAGGTAAACCTGTGGATCTTCCAGAATTTCTCACCTTTCTAAGGGAGAGCAAGTCACTCTAGGAACACAAATGTGATGCTTGATTGTGTTATTATAGGAGCATTACTGTTCCTCAGTATTGTTCCTCAGACTTTTTCCCCCATTCATCCACATTGTTTCTGTAATAAGAAGCCTTAGCTGAGGGATAGTTCTTGCCAGCTTTAAGAAGTAAGGATTGCAGGCATGAATAACTGAGTTCTTTAGTTCATAATGCTATTAGAGGGAATAATATAAATTAATCTGTTAACATTAAAAACATGCATCATGCTAGAAGCTTCTGATCACAGGACTGGGCAAAATTCTAGCTGTGCTTAACAGAACATAGCATTTTACTGAAACAGCATAAAGGAGGGGCTTCTGTTTAGTTTTTTTTTTTTCCCCCCAGATTTTTCCTAGAAGTAAGAGGTGTCAGAGCCTGTAAATAATTTAGCCTAAATACATGTATTCACTTTTTCTGGAGCTGCAGGCACAAAACTAAGGGATTCTTATAATGAAAAGCGGAAAACTTTATCTGAGGCATATTTCAGATAACTGCGGTTAAAACCAATTTGTATCATTAAGTGTTACAGTCACAAGGTTGAAAGACAGATGCGTGGAAGAACACAGATGGAACACAAAGAAAAAGAGAAGAGGAAATGAACAGGTCAGAAGTGCCCTTTGGTCAGATTTTTGGATCCTGAACAGCCTGATACAAATTTTGGTGTAGCTGATGAGCCTCCCCATTTCAGTTAATACATCTGTAATGAATTCATAACAAATTAATACAGCGAAAGTTTAGCATTTCTACACATCATGGTTGACGTACAAACAATCCGCCGACAACCCTGAAGCACCGACTTTCCACTTGAGCGAGCTTGGGGGAGGGAGGGCCTATCGTTCACCCCGCAACGCAAAGGAATCGTAATTTGGAAGGTGGGGAGCACGGCTGGAACGCGGACAATAAACCGCTACAAACCGGGCAGCGTGGGAGCCATGCCGAAGGAGCCAGGCGGGGCAGTGCCGCAAAGGCGGAGCCGCGAACGCCGATAAACGCACTTGGCAGATGCGTGGACTGCATTTGAAATCCTGTCTCGGGAAGGGCTTGGGAAGTTGCGTGCAGCTTCAGGGGCCGCAGCAGTACCCGGGCAGGCGCTCCGCGGCTCCCTGTGCGGGATTCGGGGGCCGCAGAGCAGGAATTAGGGACTCCGGCTGCGCTGCTGTCTGTGCCCCAGAAATCCCCTGGGGCTCATGGAGTTCGCCTTTTGCTTCTCAGCCTGCTTTCACAGACATTCCCGCTCCCAGGTTTCGGTGTCTCACTGTTGTCAGCGCCCCTTCCCCTCCTTCCGAGCATCCCTGTACTGGCATAGTCACATGTTTAGGCTTCGATGTCTGTAATCCCACCCTCACCGCCCGAGAAGGAGGAGGAAAATTTGCGGGAGAGAAGTGAGCAGCCAGCGGAGCGGCAATACAAACAGAAGGCGGAGATGCGCGGCGGGAGCAGGGGACCGGACTGGTGGTGGCCCGGCTCTCCCGCGGGCGGCAGGAAACCTTCGGGGCGTTTGGCTGGGAAAGGGTAAATTTCTCGTCGTGCCTGGGCTGTCCCGGAGGTCTGGCTTTCGCGTCTCCAGCGGGGCTCCGGGCGGGCGCGGACGGGGGGCCGGGGGCGCTTTCGTCCCGCCGCCTCCCCCAGCAGTAGGGGAAGCGAAGTGCGGGGAGACGCGGAGTTACGGGATCGGTATCAGTGAATAGGGACATGTTTTCATAGAAACGGATGGACTTGGCTGCTGGAGCTGAGGCACCCGGGCGAGGGGGGAAGCCGCCCTCGAAGGAGGGAATGTTTTGTGCTTGCTCTGAGGATGTGGCACTGTATGGTGGCAAGCAGAAGAGAGAATGGCCAGAGCCTCGCTGGCTCTAAGCAAATGGCCCTTTTGTTATTAAGGAAGGTGAATTAAACTCTTTTTAAGGAAACGGGAACAAAACCCGGCCATCCTCTGCTCTGTGCTTGGTCCCACCCAAAGCAGCCCTCTGCCGAGGTAACAAGCATGGTCAGAATTGCTGTGACGCTCAAGAGGCTGGGCAAGGGGGTAGAGAACTGGGCACAAATACCATCCGTGGCTCTGCTGTTTGGCAAGGAGGTCAGAGGGTGGAGGTGGGGTCAGCTTTTCTTACCTAACGCTCTCTCTTCTTTGACCAGCATCACTAAGGTAACTGCTATTAATCCCAGTGCTTTAAGGGTCACCTTGTGCTACCTGGCAGCTCTCCCAAAGGGAAAGAGGTGCACCTAAGTGCTGAAGTCTGTGACATTTAAAATCATAGACTGTGGAGGGAGTTTGCAGCTGTGCTGATGGTTCAGCAAAACATGAAACTATACCAGTGTGCATTACAGGTTTGTAGGCTGGCTTGCCCATACACAGTTGCTGAGAAAGTCATTTTAGGTGCAGCTAGTGGGCTGCCATAAAGGCTTCCCAGGTTCAGGAAGCACTTTGTAGGCACAGAGACCAGAAGAAACACCCTCCTGTATGTGTGAAGTCTGCTGCTTTCTTGTCTGTCCAACAAGGGCAACAGTAATTGTGTAACAGGAAATATATTTTTGTCTGTTATACAGTCTAATATATATGTCTGTTATAATATTGTATAACAGATTATATATTTTCCAGTTACTGTATTTATTCAGTTTTCTTCCCTTGAGGCTCAGACAGATTGCCAGTATCCCCCAGAACCAGGGCATCCCATTTACCACGCAGTGCTGTGCAGGATAAATAGTCTGCTTCATACATTGTTGTGGGAGGGGAGGAAGGCCATATATTCCTCAGACACAAGTGGTGAATACAAAGAAAAAAATCTGTAATGTTGTTTAACATTAATAGACATAAAAAAGGAGGTGTTGAAAGAATAGTGCTGTTTATCAATATGACTAAACAATTTTTCTTTCAAACGGAGGTTAGAATCACAATATTCTGGTTGTTACCTTGTACTGTGTTGCATTTTGATTGTTGCATAGACCTATGCCAACTGGAAACTCACAGCCTTCTTATGAAGGACCTGTGCTCAGAAAAATAATATCCTTATCACCCTGCTTTGTTCTTTAATATCCTTATCACCCTGCTTTGTTCTTTAATATCCTTATCACCCTGCTTTGTTCTTCACAGTTGTAAATAAAAGTAAAGCTGCAACATTTTCTGAGTTCGCAGCCATCACTACATCTGTTGCCTTTTCTCTCCCCTTCCCTCCTTTCATATACCCACATCTCCAGCTCTACTGTCATAATTATTAGGAGAAATCATCACTGAGGGTTAAGTAAAAGGTTTTATTAACTATTAAATGATTATCAAATTGTAGTTAATCCATGATGATAATTAAATGTCATTCAAATGATGATTAAACAATAACTGAAGGATAATTAAACAGTGATATAATAATGATTTAACAATAATTATCGATAATTAAGCTGTAACAGAACTGTTAATTGGACAATGATCTAATTGGTGATTTCAGCAGTGATTTAAACAATGATTAGATGGGGGTTAAATAGTCTGCCACTTACTACACTTCTAATACTTACACTGTACCTGGAGATATAAATACTGTTAGCATAAAGTACACTTTTAGGCCTAATGTAAAATGTGTTACATCATTATAGATACCAGGTTATGGGTAAGGTGTCTCTCAGTCTCAAAAGAGTAGCAGTGTCCCCGCTTAAAGGGAACTGGCTCAGGGGGGCTACAAATACATCTGTATGTTGAAGTGGTTGACTCACGACCAACCCCATTTGGTGTGCGTGCAGCTGTAGCAGTTGTAGTTTTGTCTAGTCCCCACTTGGGCTGATACTGTTAGATGCTGGTAAGACATGGCTTAGACTCCTTAGTTCCTGAGAAGATACAGCCTAGCACAGTTCTCACTGTTCACTGGCAGGGCTGGTTTGTCTGTGATGCCTGAACCAAAAGGCTGCTCACCGAGTTAGAGTGGGTGCACCCAGCACCACCTACCCAAATCACAGATACTCAAGGAGCTAATTTAATCTGCACATTGCTCTTCCAGTGACTGTGAAATGCCTGGTTTCATAGCAAGCCCCAAGGGCACAACTGCGTACAGAAATCAAATAGGAGAGCTCAGGCAGAAGGAGCTCTTCAGCAATAGCTACGCTGGGATACCTCATTCCTGCTGCTCTGGAATAACTTCATCTGGACAGACTTCTCCAAGAATAAGAATTCTTTGAATTTGCAAAGAGTTGCTATTACTTCAGCATACCACATTTACTAGGGTTTTGGGGTTTTTTTTCAAAAGCTATTCTATTTACCTGTGTGGATTACCAGTACAGTCAAACTATAAAATGCCAGTTGTTCACGACAACAAAACCAGATTGATATGTTACATACCTCAGAAAAACAGATTCCCTTCTTTGATATTGTCTTTAGCTGAAGATCAATAAAGTAGAAATTGCCTCTTGCTGCATTTGTGTACAGCACCTTGCATGCAGGAGCCCTGGTCTTATTTTAACAAAAGACTGACACAAGGAGTTAGAATAAAAATTATCTGTAGCATCTCTAATGAGTCAATGCACATTTAGCTCTGAGATTCCAAGGACAGCAAAAGTTAATAGTTTGTGCTGTTATTAGTAGCAGCTTTGTCTAATGTAATTTTTCTTTTTTTTCTTTTAATAAATAGGGATACACATTTTATACTAAAGCACAAGATAGCTCAAACCAAAAGCTGAATTTAAGATTTTGGAGAGCTTCACCTCTGTGAAAACATGCATCATTTTTTATACATATTATCAAATCCTATAACGTATCCTGGGTTGTTTTTTTTTCTTTTTTTCATCTGTGGCACAAAAAAAAATGTAAATTCAGACAAATACAGATTGAATAATTTTAAAGTCGCATAAACCATAAACCTTTGGTGTCATTTTCTAAAAGACAGCTCCTCACAAAACTCCTTGCCTTAAGTCACTGTGTTAAGCTGTTACCTTGCAGAACTCTTCTCCTAGCTGCTTTCTATTCCCACTTGATCTGAATACTGACCTTACTGCTTGATAGCAACAGGGAACACTGTTTTCCCATGATGTTGCACAGGAGGGAGCAGTCTGGTGAAAGTCAGTAGATGTTGAGAACAGGCTCCCTTCAGATTTACGTGGCAGAGGAAAATGAACACACAGGAAAAGTGAGACAGGAGTTGGGGAAACAGCTGTAATTAATATATTCAGTTCATAGCCTGTTCCACTAGAGGCTTTTAACTTCTTAGTTTAAGGGAAATGGACAAAGTATCTTCCAGCTGCCACATTCATCTACTTTGCCTCTTAATTCAGCTTTCAAACTGCTCCCTGGATTTCTAGGGATTTATGAACAGCCTGGAAAAGCTAACTCCAGTTAAATGAGACAAGCAGGCCAGCCTATCAGTAAATTTACATCCAGGATGCAATTCTGCATTTTCTGGGGTTTCCTAACTGTACAGGCTTACTCCCTGTGTATCTGTGCATTTTCAGTTTTCTGATAGTGCTTTAATTCCATTTCCTTGGACAGAAAAAGTTCCATGTTCATGGACAGGTTCTGAGGAATGGCATACAAAAATGGAAGGCTGTGACACTGATTTCTACCTGTTATACCACGTAAGTCCTGTAAAGGGCTGTCAAAATCCTTTCCATCTCCCTAGCCACTTCTCTTATGCTTCACACTATTCTTAACCTGTTAAACCGTAGAAGTGTCATGCCGTTAATACATAGACCATAAGAAACAAAAGGAAAAGTTCTAAGAGAGCTGAGAGATCAAGTGCATCACCAGCAGCCCTGGTCTGTGCCATAGCAGGAAGCACTTTAGGTGGAAGTTAAATGAAACAACTGGCTTACTTGACATTTATTCTCTAGAAGCAACATAATGACAAGTGCTTAAGCAGTGCTTGAAGTAGAAGAGGTAAGAGCTAAATTTGGTACCTGCTAGAAAATGCACCCATTTTGCTAGCACAACTGCTGAGCTCTTCCTATTTAAGATTCTGCTCAATGTTTTTAGAAACACAGCTGTTACCAGGAAGGTTAGTATTTTATTTAATTTCAAGTGTAATGGCCAGATCTGTGAATCCTCAGCTTTTATTGGACACTGCTGTTTTCAAGGCAACCCTGAATACATTGCTATTATCTGGCACCTGACCTACTAAAAGCTGTCAGAAAACAACAGGAACTGCAGATGAGAAAAGCTGTCCATCTGGTCCAGTAACAGGGATCAACTCATAGTACGGACCTCAGTTTTCAGAAGCTTAGGGTATCTGTGCACAACAGTCAGCTGTCAGCATGACTACATATATTTCTCACATATAAAACAGAAGATGTATATGGCTCTTTATGACTTTGTGAAGCTTGCATCAGTTCCCTCAGACTTGAGCAGGGCTCCTTGCTAGTGCACTAACAATATCCCAGCAAGGACAAAGCTGTTGTTTCTTCCAGAGAGGGCTAATTAGCAGAGGAGCTTGGTTCTGTGGTTGCAGCATGTCTGCACAAAGATAGTTTAGGGTTTAGAAGTGTTTTTTGCACACAGGTCTTAACTTGAGGTGCCACTATAGTATTGACACACAAGCCAAAACTACAGCTTGTGTGGACACCTGTGAGGATGGAGGCACAGACCCAGAGATAGAGTGCAAGCTGGATGGTTTATTGCAAAGATTACACGGTATTTATATGCTTCCAAGCAATTAGCCAAGCACATCTGTGTTTGCCTTGCGGTTACATCAGGTGAAAGGTCTATATGATTTTCTTATCGACATCCTCTTCCCAGTCTGACGTCCTTGTTCCTTGCCAGTTCGAACATCTTCCAAGTACCAGTCAGGGACGGGTCCATCTTAATTGCTTGCTGCGGTTCCTCCTTTCCATGGTCATTCTTAATTGCCTGCTGTAGCTTCTCCTTCCCATGGTCTCTGACAGTTTCGATACATTCCAACCCCCACAGTTCCCCCTTCTTGTTTTTGCAATGCAGTATACACATCTTTCAAAAGCTTGGGGTAACATTCACTGCATACATTGTAATAAGCAAGGTACAACACATATGAT